TATTTAATTAGCAATTAGTATATAATTGGCTACTAGTTTGATGAATAGACAATTTTTCGTGTAACGATCATTTTTATCTATTGTTAGAATGTGTTATAAGTCACGGGTTTTCACTAAATTATTATTTTTTTTTTATTTATTATTTATTTATTTAATATCCTTTTTAATTTTTATTATTATCGTTTAGTCTTTTTATTATCGCTAACAAAATTCTAAACAATTATCCAAAAATAGGTCAAAAAATTTTTAGCATACGCTTTACGGTTTAAGGGATAAAAATATTTTTTTTTGAAAAAATTTCAACACTGAATGCAACTTATTTTCAAACACGCGTACTATTCAAAATTTTTTTAATCATTTTGAAACAATAATAATTGACCCATGGTCAAAAACGATTACAAGTTATTTTGGAATTATTGAATAAAAATAGGTAAGATAAGCCAAAGAAAAGGTTTTTTTGCTACTATCGATACGTACAGTACGTACAATAAAGTATCTATTTGCTATTTATAATAAAATCATGTCAAAATCTTGTTCGCCGAGAATCGAATTACTAATAATATTTTTTAAAAAAACTATAAATTATGTCGCTCTATAAAGTTACCGTCCATAGTTAATTAATTAATGTAGAATTTTCCACGATAGGTATAAGTATTACTAAATTAATTTTATACAACAAATATTAACTGACAAAATTAATTTTATACAACATATATTAACTGACAAATTTGCATTTTTTGGCGTAAAGTACACAGATTAGTAATTTTATGTCAATCTGATAGTAATGACATTTTGTTTTTTATATATAAATCCTAACGCCAAAATCTTTTAATTCCAATTTATGTTTATTAAAATCTTTTCTTTACCAATTATCTTTAATTTAAAACAAAAGATAAATATTCGCGGGATGACTACCATTCCTACTAGTAACATTTTGGATTGGGCTTCTAAGGATGGAGAGTTTCGAAGGTATAAAGTCATTGCAAAATTATAATATTTAAATAAATTTCTATTAATCTCGATGATGTCTCGATTATAGAAACCCTTCATCTTTTCGTAATACAATTAGTAAAGATCCGGATGCAATATTTACCCCTGAGAAGTTAGTTTTAGTGTATCTCGTATTTAATATTGAATATGATTGATTATTTCTGATTTATTTGTATTATGTAGGGATCGCTATCATTTATATGTTAGTTGGGCTTGTCCATGGGTACGTTTAAAGCATATTTTCACAACAACTAATATAAGTTTCTGATTTTTCTAAATTAAAATTTTCCATTATCAAACTTTACTAATAGGCTCACAGAACCATCATCGTACGCGCGCTGAAAGGACTTGATAACATTATTGGCTTGAGTGTTGTTGATTACTTTCTGGGTGAGAAAGGATGGAAATTTAGCACTCCCGAGGAAACTCCTGGCAGCATTCCAGACACTGTAAATAATGCCCAATATCTTCGCGAATTATATTTCAAGGCCAATCCTAATTACGATGGAAGGTTTGAATCATATATATATATATACTATATATAGTTTAGTATATCCTGATTAATAAAGATATATATTTTTTAGATTTACTGTTCCTGTTCTTTGGGATAAAAAGCAACAGACAATTGGTAAATATCGTGTTTATTTTAAAATAATTTCTGTATTGAACCAATTCATTTAAATATAACTCTTCTTTTTTTTTTTTTTTTTACCATATAGTCAATAATGAATCGAGTGAAATTATTCGCATTTTTAATGAAGCATTCGATGATTTAGTTCCAGAAACAAAGGGCAAAACTTTTTATCCAAAACATCTTGCAGAAAAAATTGATGAAATCAATTCTTGGGTTTATGACAACGTCAATAATGGCGTTTATAAATGTGGTTTCGCTACATCTCAAGAAGCTTGTATGTATTTTACTTAGAATTTCTTTAATTTGTAGAAATTAATTGTAGAATTATTTTTTTTTTCGGTATCGACAGATAATAAAAATATTGGTCCTCTATTTGAATCTCTGGATAAATTGGAAGATATTCTTTCAAAAAATGAATTTCTTGTTGAAAACACCTTTACCGAAGCTGACATCAGACTTTGGACCACAATTATTAGGTAAGATTTTGTCACATATATGTATTTTAAAAACACTTATAAATACATACGAGTAACACAATATATTTTCGATTCATACAAAATTAGATTTGATCCAGTTTATCAAACCCATTTTAAAACAAACTTGAAATCTATTAAATATGATTATCCAAATATTCTTCGCTGGGCCAGGCAAATTTACAAAATTCCAAAAAGTAAATTTAAATATTTACCTATTATTTTATTAAAATCAATTATTACTAATCTATACAATGTATTATTCAATTTTAACGT